TAGCTTTGTTCGTTGGGACTGCACTACTTGCACTAAGCAGTTTAGTGCAGATGTTGTGTGTTCGTTGGGGATAGTGCAGTTTAGTGCAGTTGCACTCATACTGTTCGTTGGGCCATGTGCAGTGCAATTTAGTGCAGCCGGTGCAAGTTAGTGCAGATTTTGTTGCACCTGCTTTCGATTAAGTTCAATAAGTGCAGTTTAATGCAGTGTAACTAAAATGGCGGAATATTTGAAAGCGTGTTTTGTAATAATTAATATTAAATATTAAGAAATAAAACCTTATAATAATTAATATTTGTTGTATTAGAGAACACAGTACATTCAATACCAGTCGAGGCAGTAGAAAACTACCCCTAGTTTTTTGGAATAATTTAAAAAGTACCCTGTCGATTTTGGCGGCATTAAATACACTTATAGTACGTTTAAAAATATTAATTACGCTTTTTTTTTCATTTAGGGGTGGCTGGGGTTAACTACCCTCACCACCCCAAAAACTTTTTTTTGCAAGCACTGCTTATAGATTTTGGTGTAATTTAGCATGTGATTTCTTTATACGTTAAGTAGTACTTTTGAGAGAACTTATAAGGGTTAGTAGTTTGGTGCATAGTTTGGTGTAGAAAATATATTTCGCTAATAATTTTCATACTCCTGCCTCCTACACAAAAATCCTTAGCCACCCCTAAATGTCATATACACATTTCCGACACTTCTCTTGTCAGTGTAACATAAAATGACAGAACATTTAGAAGTGTATTTTGTGATAAATGAAGAAGGAGAAAAAATAATCGAAAAGAATTGTTATTTGACTTTTATAGGTAAGTAGCTATATATTATTATTAATACAGTCAGAAATAAAACCTTATAATAATTAATATTTGTTGTACTAGAGAACACAGTACATTCAATACCAGTCGAGGCAGTTGAAAAAGGCCAAGAATTTTATACTTTTGAAGATGGGTGTACAATACGCTTAAGAACTAGTGATGAAGAAAATAAAGAAAATGAAAAAATGGATTGGGATGATGCAAAAACAAAATTATTACTACATCTATATAAAGAAAAAAAAGTTTAGTTGAAGAACGGAAAATAAAAATTTTAAAGAAAATGTGGAATTTGATAAGCGATAGAATGAAGTGGTACATTGCATTTCCTCTCCAAGTAGAGAACAAATGGAAGAGTCTAGAAAGAGGTTATAAAAACAAAATTTTAATATCAAAGAAAACTGGAAGAGGAAGAAGATCCTGCCCATAAGAAAGGGAATTAGAAGATATTTTATCAAAGCGGCACTCTATACAACCCATTTGTACATTAGGGAGCTCGACAATGGGGAATGTCGTTGATATTAAAGGAAAAAAGCGAAAACAAGATTGTACAATAGAAGAATGCATTGAAGATGAACAAATTGCAGGACCTTCAAACGTTTCGGTTCCTGAAGCCGAAAGATGCTTCACCAACAATAAAAGAACCTCCAATCATTTTAACCGAACAAGTGGTGATACAAGAGAAAACAGAACATCATTTCTGTTCCATCCCAGAACAGAAATCGGGATCGCACCACGACTAGTGAATTAAGCAAAATAAGACAATTGCAAGAAGAAATGTTTAAATTTAAAAAGCAAAATGAAGAAAGAAAATTTAAACAAAGGCAGGAGTTCATTAATGAATTGAAAACTCGTAATGAACTATTAACACAACTGCTAAATAAAAAACAATGAGATTGAATTTTTTATCTATTCATAAATAAATAATTACAAATTTCGTTTCTTAACACTGTTCCTCTATTTCTGTTCTCTTTTTCGTCCTGCGTTGCTGGTTGCACATCATCCACTGAATCATGTTGTAAAACATTTATGTTTTCTTCATCGGCCAAATTGTGTAAAACACAACATGCACGAATGAAATGACAAATTCTTTCTGGGCCACGAAGCTTCAGGTGATACAACTGCCGGCATCTTTGTTTCAACAATCCGAACGTGTGTTCAATAGATACACGGCATTGGCTGTGTTTTCTATTGAAGTGTTTCTGTGCCGATGTTAGATGTCCATTATCTTTATATGGCACCATTACACGTTCTGATAATGGATATGCACTATCTCCTAATATATAGCTATCTATAAAACAAACAGTAGTTGTAAATAAGTAAATATACATGTACTACTGACTGTTAAATAATCTAAATAATTGCCTTCATCATCACTATATAAAAAATTATACAATGAAGAGTTTTGGAAGACACGTGCATCATGAATAGATCCTGGATATCCAATAAATATGTCTATAAATTTTTTTTTCATTGCATGTTCCTTGCAATATAATAGAAAAATAATCTTTTCTGTTGCAATAATCGGTCTCTCTTTCTTTTGGCTTATCAATTTTAATATGTGTTCCATCTATTGCACCTGTAATAAGAATAAAAATCAATTTTTTTAAAAACATGTTTCTTTTAAAATAAGGAATAACATCCTGAATAGTAACAATATCTATACTTAATTTACAAACCATACAAATAATGGTGAAAACTGACCTATCACACTAGGGAATCCTGAAATTCTTTTATAATACTCCTTGGTATGTTTTTTTTCTTTAGAAGGCCATTTTATAACATCACATGCCATATTACTTAGCCAAAGAGATACTCTTGTTATGATATCATGCAAACTACTTATTGATAGATCGAATCTATCAGCCACATCCCGGAATGACACAGTTTCATGGCCACAAAACCATAAAAAAGCTAAAAAATGCTTTTCCGCCGAAATGTTTCTGTGACCTATCACATGTTTTATTTATTTCAATACTAAAAAGAATCAACTGTTTAATACTATTACCTGCGCTTAATATTTTTTGATAAATTTCACTAACAGTAAATTTATCAATCAAAGCATAGCATAAAGCTTTGCTTATTCTAAAATGTGAAAAAAATTCAACTTCTGTGTAACTAGGAACTATCTAAAATCAATTATTTATGAATATCACGATGCCCAAATTATTTTATTTTTACCTCAGTGCAATAATGTCTTATGGTTGTCCTCACGTGCTTGACAACGCTATAAGAACATTTATTAAGTAATTCTATATCACCATCAGATGAATCGCTACTAAAAAAACATTCTGCGAAGAGTTCATTTTCCGCGAGTATTTCGCTGACAATCTCCTGTTGGTCCATTTCAAATATTATACACTTTTTTTTATAAAAATCTGTTCGTTGCGACCACTGTTTATACATTTCTGACCTGCACTAAGTTGACATGACATTGCACTGACTTACACTTCATTGCACTATGACGTCATACGAGTGCCATGTCGTGCAGAGTAGTGCAGTCCCAACGAACAAAGCTAAGTTTATGAAAAATAAAACGTGAAAAGTGACAAATATATTGAAATAAACAAATCAGTACTGGTCAATCATATTACGTCACAAATAAAATTCATTTATTTTTATTATTTTTATTTTTATCTATTTGAAAAAGATATGAATAAATGTTACTCAAATTTTCTGTATCTAAGTTACGTCTAAAAATTCTTCGTAAAAAGTTGCCCATATAATGTTTTATTTATAATACTCCATCTTTGATAATAAGTGAGATATTCGCGATTGTCGTTTTTGCAAAATTTTCAGTTTTTGCCGATAGGGTGAAAACAAAAGACGATAGCTGTTCGCAGTTTTCGGCATTAGCATTTTCTCGAAAAAAAGCTAATGCCGAAAATAGCTACTTCGAAAAGCTACTTTTTTTCTATCTCTTTTAGTTTCGGAGATGGCCTATGCGGACATCGAAATTGGGACACCCTGTACATTGTTTTTACGTTAAGCCTTGCATCTATATACAGGAAAACCTTTCGAACTTGTTTTGAGGTTAAGTTTGAGCACGACATTGCACGGCAAGTCATCATTTGTAACACAAAGAACCTAAGTCAGCGACTTATGTTGTTTCAGCAGTAAACGGCTGTGGCGACATGGCTGTAATTCGGTAACAGTTATCAGCATATAAGTTCTGTCAGCACCAAACAACGGGGTTGAAACTATAGGTATGTTTACATGGATAACTCAAAATGGCCAAAAAGTGACTTAGGTTGTCTCAGCAATAAGCGATTCATATGAAGGAAAAAGTAGTGGGTTTTAGTTCTCAGAACAGAATTTTGAGGTTTTTCACATATTTTTTGAAATAAATGCTAATTTATATATAGTTTTTATATATGAGGACTTCCTAGTATGCTGGGCTCTTACCACCTGTGCCTTCTCTGAAAGCTGCCCTATTGGAACAAGAACATGTTTGATGGCTATAGAGTCATGTAGAAGGATTTTATGTAGGCTTGGAGGCATCCTGTACCAGCCATATAGTTTCACAAGCAGTTTGGCAAGATCATAGGTAAATGTATTTTTCTTGTCATTGTCATAGTGAACAATTTGAAGAAGTTGTTTTATAAATACCTGAAGAATAGTTCCAAATCTAGATATTAATTGCTTATCAACTCCTGTAATTGCAACGACCTTAAAAACTCCCCGGTTATCAAGCTTTGCGTAAATTTGCGTAAAAGCTTTTTCTTACAATTTTAGGTCTCTATATTGTATCCGCCTTGATTTTTGAAAAGTTTTTAATTCTGATCCAAGATTTGTAATCAGCACCCCAAAAAATCCCACCAGTACCAAGTCTTACAAACAAATCAAGAGAAAATGAAAAATTGTTATCTGTTATCAATTTTTAATTGAAGAATTTTTGTTGTATCTCAATTTATGGTTCATTATGGGCCTCCTTTTTTGAATATATTATTAACTATATCATAATAAAGAAATACTCAAAATTTGAAGTCAATATCATCTAATAAAAGAAAGTTGCGCGTTAAAATGTAAAGAATTTTTCAATTTGAACGAAGCAAAATCACACTCTCTTATATTTGAATGGTATGACTCACCTTCTTCAATCTGACGTTTTCAGTGCTTGAAACTTCTTCCTAAACGTATCAGTGTATGGCGTAATATTCTGCCATTCTTCAAGTAGCGCTTTTTTCAAGTCTTCTTTATTGAATATTTTACACTTTCGTATATTTTGATCCAACATTACCCATAGACTTTCAACGAGATTCATATCGGGCGACTGTGCTGGTGGTGCCATTAGATGAGGGCAATTCCAAATAAGCCACGACTGTATTTTTTCTGATTTATGTTTTGGATCACATGTTCAGCACTTTAGACCAAATTTCGCCGTTGAACTGAAACATAAACAAGGTACATGTTTAAAAGACACAAAGAGGATCTGATTTTTAACGACATTACAGACTTTAACAATAACAGATATTTCATAAGATTTATGACTGCAGATATATAACCTGTTTTATTAGTTGTTTCTCTGGAACTCAAAAGTCAAAAATGTTAGACTTTGACTCGTCGGCAAAAATAACTTCATTCCAAAACTCCAAGCTCTTCGAAGTATGTTGACGCTGCAAAGTTAAGCCGACTTACCGAATTTTTTTTTTATCTATAAAGAGCTTCTTACTAGCTACTCGCCCATGGAAGTTGTTAGTATATTACAGTTTCAGCACTGCAAGGTTTTTCTCACTCTTCTTGGATCTCGACAGCCAATTTTGGAGCGGATAACTTTGGATTAGCTTTGATTTTCCGAATAATCAATCGCTCATCAATTGCGTTGAAAATCTTATTTGGCGCAATTCTCCCCTCATTTACAATACGATTCTCGTGCACAAAACTTTCTATAATGTGCTGTACTGTGGATGGACTTAAAATTATCATTTTGGCAATTTTTCTAATAGATTGCCCATTTTTGAAATGTTTTAAAACCAGTTCACAAATTAACCAATATTTTAGTTTTCTAATTCGTTTATTATTAAAAACCAATTTCGAGTAATGAATGAAGTTTTTTATATAATTTACAAATATTATTCTTAACAATTACATTTAAATTTTGTTTAAAAAAATTTCTGTTTAGAATTCACACCTCTTTAGATTTTAAACTATCTTGTTCTTTATGTTAAATCTATGTATGTAGATTAATGTTTAACAACAATTTAGGTATGAAAACTTAAACGAATTTAATTTTCTAAGTCCTTATATAACAGATACATAATAGTAAGTGATGTGATCGTAACTTGTGATCAACATGAAAGCGATCAATTTATGTAAGCACAGTAAAAAAGTCATTAATTAATAAAGCAATAAATTCTATTATTAACACCAATACTTTTTATAATCAACGAAAATTTATAACCAAAGTGAAAAAAATAAATGTTGTTATGATAACAATTACAGAAATATCAAACTTTATTTCGTTTTTATAGGCCAAAATTATAAGATAAAATTAGCAAAACATCGACCATCTATCGATAGAAAATTAATCAAATTAAGTTGAGTAGTCCACATTCAACGTTGTAGCATATTTACATGGTATTGATAAATTGTTTATAATATACCAACAACACATAATTCATAACCAGATATAGCTCAGTTATAACTATATTCTAAGTAGTTAGAAACTGGAAATCCCTAAAACATAATGATGTTTAAGGGATTTATTAAAGTTTATCATAACTTAAAAATTCAAAACGTTGGAGCAATATTGTTTACATATAAATTGTTTATAATGAATCAAAAAGATATAATTCATAATCAAAGCTAACTTAGTTATAACTATAATATACTATAATATAATCGCCAATGTACGAAAACTGTTGATTTTCATATTAAAGTATATTATTATAACTTCAAAATTAAAAGTGGTGGAGTAAAATTGTTATAATATAAATTGTTTATAATGATCTAAAAAGACTTAATTGCTAACCAGATCTAGTTTAGTTATCAGCGTGTTATAGTTAAAAAACTGGGAAGCTCAATTATATCAAATTTGAATATTTTCTTCCTAAAGTCGATCACAACTCAGGAACTACAGGTGATGGAGAATTATATGTTGGTAATAAATTGTTTATAATAAATCAAAAAGACATAGTCTACAGCCAGGGTTAACTCAGTTATTACTACATTCTTGTTAAATATTGTAAATTGTGAAAGTACCAAAATTTGTAATTTTCGTTATTAAAATTTATCATAACTTAAAAATTTAAAACGTTGGAGCAATATTGTTTACATATAAATTGTTTATAATGAATCAAAAAGATATAATTCATAATCAAGGCTAACTTAGTTATAATTATATTCTTGTTTAGATAATGAAAATCGCCAAAGTACGAAAACTGTTGATTTTCATATTAAAGTATATTATTATAACTTCAAAATTAAGAGTGGTGGAGTAAAATTGTTATAATATAAATTGTTTATAATGATCCAAAAAGACTTAATTGCTAACCAAATCTAGTTCAGTTATCAGCGTGTTATAGTTAAAAAACTGGGAAGCTCAATTATATCAAATTTGAATATTTCCTTCCTAAAGTCGATCACAACTCAAGAACTACAGGCGATGGAGAATTATATATTGGTAATAAATTGTTTATAATAAATCAAAAAGACATAGTCTACAGCCAGGGTTAACTCAGTTATTACTATATTCTTGTTAAATATTGTAAATTGTCAAAGTACCAAAATTTGTAATTTTTGTTATTAAAATTTATCATAACTTA